GCGGAAGGAGCCTTCTGTGTTAATGCAAGCTTGGCCAAGCATGCAGTTGTGACTGCCAGTCAGACACTCATTAACATCTGAGGAGAGAGGCGTCCACTCAAAAATAAGAAAAGGAGAATATCCCTCTATTAAAGCACAAATGTGCAGTCACATTTTGTTTTTGTGGTAAATGAGCAAGACTCCACAGCCATGCTACCTCTGTGAGACTGTGAGCTACAGCAGTGCTTTGAGCTAAATGTAAGCACGCTAGCATGCTCACAATGACAATGGTGTAATGTTTATCAAGTTCACCATCTTATTTAAGCATGTTACCATGCTAACATTTGCTAATTAGCACTAAACACAGCGTATAGAGGCTGATTAGTTAGCATTAGTTTTGCTGGAATTTGGTCATTAACCAAAGTATTGGACACATTCAGTTGTGACCTCTTGGTGGCACTGGATGGAAAAAATGAAGTTGGATCAGCAAGTGATTATAATTCATCCTGAAGAGGAAGTGAGTCTGTACTACATTTCATGGCAATCCATCCAATAGCTGTGGAGATATTTCAGTCTGGACTGAAGACATGGAGCAAACAACAACAACCCGTCACACGGACATTGCCATGCTACTTAGAAAGGCTAAAAATCCCATATTACAGAAGTAGTTGATTACATTGAAGATCTGTAGTGAAGTCGTGCTTTCATTTACATTACTTACCCTGACAATTCACTCCATCCTTATGCAGTTGATAGCCATCGTGGCATGCACATGTACCATTACCGACACACAACTGGGAGCAATTGGAGTCTGAAAACAAGCAGAGAGACACATGAAGAAGCAGACGTCACAGTGTACAGTGTGTCCTAGATCACAGGAATCATGTCACTGGCTGATGGAAACCACCAAGACGTTTGTGTTTAAGCCTCTTACAGCTCTTATTATAACAAAGGAGATGACATCAAGAAATGAAGGTGCCAAAACCTGTACAGGTGTCCGATCCTTCTGTAGGCTTGACGGTAACGTTGACCTCTGGCTCTTCTGTCACCGGTTCTATGGAAGCAAAAGTCCCATTAAAACCAAATACGAGCAAATATTCTGCACCTTGTCACACAATGCAACTCCACATATCTGTGGCTTTTTCATGGGTATGCTCATCACTCCTAGGGCCTTGCTCTTTATCTGCAAAACACTGATTTCCTTTTCTTCACAAATCGAGTGTTTTTGCAGCTCTGTTCATGTTTTTCACCTGAAGCCAGCTGAGACAAAAGCAAAAGGCCACAACACCAGTTGGCCCTCGGTTACCATTTGGCAAGGTGTCTACAGATTAGTCTAGAGAATGTCTGTCTCTCTGGCAGCAATCTGCTCCACAGCTGCCACCCGAAGGCCATTTATCCAGGCCTTCAATGAAACAGGGTCGCTCTCTCTGCTCCTAGTAACGCTGCCTGTTTTGTTGTAATGCACTCATTTCTTTGGAAAGTCTTTTAGAACAAACAAACCTCGTGAGCGTTAAGGTTTTGCTCCCAGTGCTAATAAAATCATAGGCCCCACTTTTTAATAAAGTAGTCTTTATAAGAGCTTGTAACTTGTAGCTAATAGTAATGCTATCCAGAGTCGAGCCATGAGATGCTTTCTAGTGGTACACAAATATACTGCTAAGAGGGCTACTGAAGGTGACATGGAATGGGAGTCATGTCTTGTAAAGCACAGATGTGAAGTCGTTCAGCTGTGGAATCGGCTTGCTCAGTTGCCAGAGAAAAGGTTGACCAAAAAGATCTTTAACTGGGATGGAGCACACAGACATCCTTGGAAGAGATGTTTCTGCATTTTTTTCTCTTCTCGGTTTACACTTCACATTCAGGGACAATTTGCAGTTTGATATAAATATAATTAAACAAAAGTTATTACAGATTCATAAGGAACAATGAAAAAAGGAGCTTTGGTACAAACCAAAGCTCAGAAACTGCTTATGGGGTTCTTATTTTCTAATAAGCCATCAAACAGCATGATTAAGTCACATCTAGTGGAGAAGTTGCAGATTGCAACCAACTGAATACAACACTCCTTCCAAGCGTGTAGGAGAAAACTACGGTGGCCGAAAAAACCCTTGTGAAAGGCCCTATCTAGAGTCAGTGTTTGGTTTGCCCGTATTGTAGAAACATGGCGGTTCAACATGGCGGACTCTGTAGAAGAAGACCCACTCCCTCTGTTAAAAAAAAACCTGACTCATTCTAAGGTAACAAAACACAACAAGCTATTTAATAAGAGATTAATAATTGGATTTTGGTCTATATCATCTGCAGCCCTTTTCTAGAAATTCATGGTCATGGCAATGGGAGTTTTAAAAAGGAACAACCCAAAAGTTGGCATATAGCTGATCTATAAAGCATAAGGAAACTTAAATAACCACCAATAAAGCCAATAGTTATGACCTATAAAGGCCTTATTAGAAAGTGGCATCACGTCATATTGTGCTGTAAGTCATTTGGCACCTAATGTGTGCAAATGGCTGAGCACATTGTTTGTTTTGAGTGTCGCAGACAGCCAGTCGCCATTCTTTCATGATAAGACAGAGAGGAGCTAATCAAGACACACAAGACTGAAAGCACAAGATTGTTAAGTTCTTTTTTTACCTTCATTCACATCATTTGGTTTGATTTCCTCCGTTGTGTTTTTGCCACAGCAGGTTTTAACTGTGTGTGTGCACCGTCTCCCCAGAAACAAACCCTGGAGCTCGCAGCTCGGATCCCGGAGCGCTGTCATCAGGCCGAGCATGCAGCAGTCACAACACGTCTAAACAGGAGGCAGAGAAGGTGAAACAGAAGGAAAGGCAGTTGAAAAAAAAGTGAAAAAGGAGAAAGAAATCTTATCTTGAATGTGATGTGTATTGATTTAAAGTGTATTATCCCTGTGTGTGAGAACTGGGAGATGCGTAAAGGTTGAAGATATTGACATTAGGAAGGAGGACAACCTTAGAGATCTTGGTTTCCCAGGGGTCTCCTTGGAAGAAGGGCCTCTCACAGGCCCCTTGACCCCGGGCCATCTTGATGCCATTGTCACAGAGTTGGTCTCCTATTGCTGCTGCACAGCACTGCTCCTGGACAATCCTGTAAATAAACAGCAGAAGATTTGGCATGAAACCTCATCCAGAACAGAAACTGTACTCTTTGCTCTGTGAGGAAAGAGTTGGATAAGAAGTGAAGTGAAGAAATACTTACTATTTACATTACATACAATCGATAAGTGGATTTAGTCTGTAGTACGTTGAATATTGACTTGCAAGAGGTAACCTACCCCCCATTCTTTCTCTTCTTTCCTTGGCAAATGTTCCTCCCACTGACCTCCATGTGTTGACCAGGTGTTCCTCTATTTCATCAATCACCACCTCCATGTTCTAACAGTCAAACAGGGCCTTTTAGTGTTAAAACTGCTCCAGGGGGCCACTTAACGCCTGCACTTACTGTGTAGTTACTATGTGGCAATCCTCCCCTGTAGCGGGACGGATGGTTGAGGGTTGTGGAGATGATTTGGGGCTTGCAACCCCAAGGGCATTTCCTGCTTTTAAAAATACCATCGCAAACGCTGGCCCTACAGGACACACACATTTCCCAGTGCAAAATACCACACTTAGATATAAGCTACAAAACTATTTCATACATAATGTGTGAACTGATGGGGAGTGTCGCACTGTAGATAAATACAACAAACGTCACACATCCCCCTCTATGAACTCCCTTGCTCTGAGCCTTCCTTGGTCCCTGGGCCCCATTTTGAGACCCTCCAGAGCACCAAGCTGGTTTGAGAAACCAGGTGTTGCTTACCTGCAGGTGTGGGAAGAGGAGATGAGGGGGAGGATTGCGCAGTCTTGTCCTCCAAGGGCCCGATCCCTTCCATCCTGACAGCACTGTTGTACAGAGAGAGGCTGAATGTCTGCCGTGTTGGGATGATGGCAACAGGATTAGAAAAAGACGGCACAGGAGATGGAAAAAAATAGCAAAGCTGCCCCTGAGTGCCAGTGACTGACTCACATTGAATTAAAATGGGCTCACACCCTCACATTGACTGACACTTTATGGGCAGTAGGTAGATAATCTAAGTTATAATATCACCAAAGATACATAGCTACGTGTATAAAAAGTTATTCAAACCATTAACACATTCAAATCCTGCATCCCCCAGTGGCAAACTTCAGCTGTGTTCTTACCTTGTCCATGCAGAACTCCGTACAAAGAAAACAAAAGTATTGTCCACTGTGCCATCGGACTCGGTTTCAAGTGTTTCGACCTTCGACTGTCTAAAATGCACGGTTATATTAAAGTGCTGGTTGATCGGCGGGTGAACTGCTGCAGTGGACGGTGTGTGTGTGCGTCAAGAAGGAGATCATCTCAGTCAGTCAGAGCGGCAGCGGAGGTGACACACATCTCGCATGGTGAGCTTTTGGACGCGGGGCGGGGCCGGCGGTGCGTGGGGTGGAGGGAGCCGCCTCTCACTGTCCGGGCTACTGAATAATTAAACACGGCAGATAATATTTTTTAATTTATTTACACTAACTGAGTAAAAAGTAGATGTTAAAGATAAATAACTGATAAAATCTAAGAAAAGGCGTTGAAAAAAAAAGTATGAAAGCCTTAAATGCAGGCAAAAAGAAGAAAAGTAAGTAATTCTGGCCTGGTAGAAAATTCATTTTGTGACCTTTATTTTATTAGAATATCGCTTTCATTAATTTTTTTGAATTAATTCTTTTAGATGTTTTTAAAACTGCTGTTGAAAAGTATTAGTTAAAGTAATTTATAAAGAAATAGCAGCAATTAGTGAGAGTTATGACAAATAAGCACAACTTGATGTAACTTTTCCCGGTTCTCCTTTATATCCTTTATTACTGTTAAATCCCCTCATGACCCCTCAAATTACTCTTGCGACCCCTAGTGGGAGTTGAAACCACAGGTTAGGACCCCCTCTCTAGGCGATAAACATACAAACACAAATAGAAAGAATAAAAGATGACAACAGTGGGAGCATGTACATGTAACCCTGTTTATTACAAATATTGTAATTGCAGGTATTTTTTATGCTCAACATTGTAGAGTTCATTTACAGGTCCTGTTTATCTTCAATAAATAATAACAATAATGATGTTGGACAAAATAATCTATGTTGAAGTTGATATGAGTTGACTTCATACAGGATGGTTTAGTTAACTGAAGCCTCTGTCAATAAATGTGATTTCTTCATTTAATGCCATAGACCAATTTATGCATCATGCTTTTCCATGACAGTCAGTGAGGGAAACTGACTAAAACAATACGGCTTAGGCCTAATCTTGTGCAAAAGTAATCATGCAGCAGGAGGGCAAGGACACAATTTGGAAACACATTGTTTTTAGACGCTGACGATGACGGGAAAGTGATAATCATGTCTCTGAATTATCTAGGACTGATAACAGGAAAGTTTGAAGACTTGTTCTCCTGATAAAAAACCACCAAGGCTGCTGGGTGATCCCATAGCTGGGATTGGGGGGGGGTAAGAGGCCTCAAACTGGCAACACAAAAATGAAACCATGACAGTGGCAATTCATTTTTGTTTGTAAACGACCAAGCAGCGCAATTTTCAAAATGCCAGGTTTGTCAAATCACTGACAGATGTGGCAGCATCTGTACAAATACTACAGTACATAGAGCGGGCCCTATTTGTTGCATACATAGCAGTAATACAATACTATTAAAAATAAAATAATAATACTATTGCAACAGTTTATGAGCCGCACAGCTAGTACAAGTGAGCTCAAGTCTATAAACACAAAAATTATTATTTATATTAAGACATCGTGCATGCATTGCTATTTCAAAATCCTTTTTTTCTATATTTTGATTGCAGCATTTGTTCCTTCAGTTCATGGCATTGTTATGTACAAGTGATAAGCAAGGTAACTGATCATAATTTACACACCATCCTATCAACAAAGAATATCTTATGTGTGCTTCTCAGTGTCGACCTCACAGAAAATAACCCTCTGTGTTACAGTAAAATTGTAACCTCTGTCCGGCAAAAAACAAAAAAAAGGAGCTTCCCTGGCTCCCTTCATTGTGCATCTACAGCATGAACGCTACTAAATAAGTCTTTCTTTGTATAGCAGTGCCCCTTTTTTTTTTCTATTGCAAATATAACATGTTAGAAAAAATGTCTGGTGGCAGCAAATGTAGGTCCCCACTGGGGCCACTTCTGTGGAAGACTGAAATCATCCATCCTTTCTATAGTTTCTCTCTGTGGTAATCCGTCTAGCCCTCCTCCTCTGTGGGTGTGTCTGCAGGAGCCGACTCCTTCTCCAGGGTTTCATGTGGATGTGCAGTCTTGTCTGTGGAGAGCTGAGGGTTCTCCTCCTTCGGGGAGCTGGGAGCGTCTCCGTCTTTTGTTTCACTCTCTGCAGCCGGAGAACTTTTCCCCTCCTGCACGTGAGTTTTCTCGTTCTGCTCTACCTCCTGTGCAGGAGGCGCACTTTCCGTCGCGGCATCTGCCTTTTTGTCCGTCCCCTTATCGCTCGTATCGATCACCTTCTCCTGCGTTTCGGGCTTTTCTTCCTCCGCTGGGGCTGATGCTTCTTCCAGAGGAGGAAGGTCCTCTTCTACAGGAGGAATCCCTTCTCCCGCGGGACTCTGTGGCTTATCGTCTTCGATGGGAGCCATGCCTTCCTCCATCATCTCTTCCTCTTCTTCTTCTTCTTCATCTATCTCATCCTCCAAGGGAGGAATCATCTGTTCTTCCCTCCCCCCGGGGAAGACCCTGTCTGGGTAGACTTGTTTCAGCTGTTCCTCAAAGTAGTCCTCCAAGTACAAGCCTGCACTGCCCACCTCTGAGGTCGCCTGTACGGTCAGTGCACAGAAATATCAGAAAATGAAAGAGTATGTATTTTAAAATAATTCATCTTTGGTAAAACTCAACTTGCAAAGCTCCTGCAAATGAGTGTTACATGGTATTTGTCAATAAGCAGAAATAAATGTCACTGTGTAATTCACATTTTCGCAAGACGTCACAATGTTACAATCATTCTGGAAGGAATATTTGATAGAAACTGATTACCTTGTAGTACTTTGCACAGTTGAAAAATATGAGCCTGACGTCCGAGACAAATCCCTCCGGACTGCTGTAACATTCACCTTCCCTCGACTTCGACTCCAGTTTCCTCTTCACTATCGACAAATCCATCGGGGTCTTGATCAGCTCTTTGTACCTTCTTGTCTCCTACATTAGAAAAACAGTAGAAGATACATCTGTTAAGAGAATCTGATATATTGACTGGCTTCTGGTGCAGTCAATATGACCCAAGTATGACTTAAAAGAACATGAAAAGTTCAAATAAAACACATTGATGTACATTGGTTACTGAGTAACTTTTTCATTAATTTTAGCTTTACTGAGGTGAATTTTTACTGAAGTGGTGAACTTTACCATCATTGAAATCTATTCAAGTCCACATTTCCTCACATTGTAGTTAGAAATTCTCCAGTGGAAAGTCTTCTCTTTCTCCAAGTCAGAAAAAGGAAAACCTCTAATGTCTTCCTTTCTAAAATCAGTATTTATCTATTAATCTACTTATTTTCAAATCAGCAAAAATTTTAATTTTCTAGCACTGGAGTTCTTTTAAACTTTATTGACAAAATACTAAATACGGTAACTTACTGAGGGAGAAGCAGTCTGCTGGAAGTCGGTGCTGAAGTCATTGCAGAACAGACGTAGTAGCAGCCTCTCACACCTCTGCATATAAAAACAAAGAAAAACATCAGATCAGATCAGACATGTAACTGATCATGTTATGTGAAGTGTGTCTATCCCCAAAGAGATACAACTTGTTTAATTGGAGGTAGTACTTTAGAATATCATGCACAGGAAGGTAAATGACAGCTGTGAACATACCCTTCTGTCAACAGGGGGGAATCCTTCAGAGACGGGGTCATCCTTGCTGTTGCAGTCGTACTCCATCTCAGGAGAGACGAGGTCTCGGCAGAACGAACAGAACCACTCGCCACTGAGGAGAGATGTCAGGAAGAGCTTGTTAGGCTAGATGCACAGACCTGTCTGCCAACCTTACTCACGTGCAAGACCAACAGGTTGTCAGAATCCCCTTCATCAGTGTCCATTTTTTTCTAACAACTGCTCTTATGAATTTTACTTAATAGACTAAGAATGATAACGAGCCATGTTAGACTTTCTCAGTGATAGATGAAATTGGAAGAATCTGACAAACCCCTACAAATATATATACTGTACATTATCATTACACATGGTGTGCAACATTTCTAGCACAGTTTATAACTTGAAATGCAGGAAGTGCAGTACAATAACTGTACATGCAAAAGTACAATAAACTTCTTTAATTTACAATAAATCTGCTTTTGTATATTATACCACCACTAAGTATAACCCAATTTAACAAACTTTCCAATATCACAAACTAATACTGCAGCTGCAATTAAATATTATTTAAAGACTAATCTGTAAAATACTGTAAAACAACAAAGACCTCTTTATTTTTTTATTAGTCAATTTAAACATGTTTTTTTTAAAGATTAAATACACTTCTCAAATTAATAACACTGAAACATGTATCAGAATGCTTTCAGTTACAGGAAATATTAAACTACAATAAAATAATCCAAGATAAAATGTCTTATGGTGTCCAGCATCATTTAATTATGCAGCCATAGCATTGAGAGACAGCCTGTCTCTCACCTGGGGGACTCGTTCAGAGTGGGAATGTGACAGGCCAGATGAAAAACTTTGGGGCACTTGTCGCAGCAGAGCAGCTCCCCTCCGTTCTGACAGACAGCGCACCAGTCCTCATTGGGATCATCCTCCGGCTCTGCTCTCTTTTCAGACTGCGGCTGCCCCGCAGACTGAGGACGCTGCTCTTTCCCAGCTTTGGACTCCGATCCGGGGACCGGGGCAGGGGCGGACACCTTAAGCTGCTGTCTAGGCTTTGACTGAGCTCCGGTGCTGCTGTCCGGTAGGCTGGAGCCGACACTGGACTGAACCTGTTGGCAAAGTAAATGCAAAATACATCATACAACATTTTTTTTTGTTAAACAAAAAAAAAAGATATTAACACTTTCTGCGTGCTGCAATTTAATGCCACCAACACCTCATAGCCTACATGCTACATTATTCAACAAAATGTTTCTAAGACATTCTGAACTTGTGTTAAGTAATTCTCTTACAAAACGAACTTCATCCTCGTCCTCTGGTTCGTCCTTGATGACGATTACAGGCCCTGGGGATGACCTTCTTCGACGCTTGGCTGAGGGGGCAGACGGAGCCTCAAAAGTCGGCTTCCAGGAAGTCGTCCTTCAACAAAGCCAGACAGAGAAGAGAGGAAGATTGTGACCCTGATATAAAAAAAACTGGCCTTGCTTACATGAATAGGCCTGGAAGATCGCAGTGTTTTTAATTAAGTTTGTATTAATCACTTAAATGTCAGATGTCACACAGCTTAATGAAAGCATAAAAATAAGTGTCACCAGGACGTACTTAATATATTAGATATTAATTATAAATAGAGACAGATATTTGGGGGAACTAATTACACTGCAGGCTAGGACAAGGGAGTGGAGTGTTAGACTGAAGGCTGATGAAGACAACCGCTGTCAAAACATGGCACGTTTTAAAGTAACTTCAGTGTCGCGTGTCAAAAAGGTTTCAAATTAAATATTACAAGCACGCGCCTGTTATGTTAACAAACACAGATTCAGGGCAAAACAACAGAAAAATATCAGCCATAGTCTGTGCCAGAGAAAAAAGTAAAAAGCTTATAGTTTCTAAGTGAGCTAAAGGGCTAATGTGACAGAACAAATGCACAATGAGAACAATGTGAGTGTTGCAAAGGTTACATGGTTATTTCATAAAAAAGGTAAAAGGTTTCACAGTAGTTACATTAAACCCCAACAACTGTGATGAGGACACATTTTAGGATCTCCTCTTACCCTGTGCTTCTGTCTGAAGAAGTTGGCTTGGCCATCGGAGAGTTCTGCCTTGCTTGAACTTTAGAGGAAAAGAAGAAGAGAAGTCATTATGAAGAGCTTCATTTCAGACTGATGTTCACACAGAACAGAATCTTTGGGGTTGTTACATCAGAGCAGTGATAATGACCTGCTATGTGATTAAGCGCGCTTGTTTTGTCTGCAGTTGCCGAAGCTAGACTCGGAGCGAAGCTGGGTTTGGGGATAGAGATTGTGATAGAGGGCACAGATCCCCCAGCCTCACTCCTCTTCAGGAAGGAGGACTCCGTTAGGCCCCGCTTTAGGAAACAAAAATGAAAAAAGGGTTTAATTAATCCTCCTCAAAACATGCACTTTCTTGTTCTGGAATAAGCTCATGTTAGAGTGGAAACCTTCTACCAACCTGATGTATGGACGTCTGTGTAGCTGCTCCAGCGGACAGAGGCTGTGGGTAGCGGGACGGTCCCTGCAACACATCCATGGGTTTAGGAGGGAAGCTGGAGCTATGGATCAGATCTCTCAGAGACTAGATGTAGAAAAAAAATTTCAAGTTGAAAAGTAGTATAGATTCAGGCCAGTTTAGCATCAACTATAAGTCCCCTTGACAAAACGCTGAGGAAGACATCCCCAGTAACATAAAACATTTCTGATTTAATTTCCCAGTTCAAATAAAAAAAAAAATTGGCATTTGACAAGAATAAAATCCCATTACAAGATATTTAAGGATACAGTATAATCTAGTAGATAAGACCAACTTGATTCACCCCACTTTTTGAGGCAGAAGATAATTAAAACTTCATCAATACCTACACTACAATAATCACATCAATGAAACCCTCATGTGATTAAAATGAAGTGAGCTGAAGAGTGTAAATGCTTGGAACTGTTTATCACAACTGTAAACAGTCTTTCTGGTATCTGCCTGTTTGATAAGAACCCTCTGTAAATACTTTCTACATGACAAGTAGATCCTCTCTGGCATACAGAACATACATTACATTCCCCACACACCTATACATGCTATGCTCACACCTATACATGCTGATGTTTCTACCTGCAGTAACTTACCTGAGAAGGTGGGAATCCTGTGTTGTGAATCATGGTTGATGTGGGGCTTCTGGGGTTGGGATGGGAGCTCCCGTATCTGCGCCCTGGCTGGCCCAAGTTGGGGGGGCCTTGGGAGGGGGAGGACCCGCCATGGATGGGTCTGGTTTGGGGTGGAGGTCCAGGGGGTCCAGGGGGTCCTGGGGGTCCTGGGAGCCTGACGTTTTGGTACCAAGACCAGTGGTTAGGAGGGGGCTGCCTGTGGGGATGCTGGGAAAGCTTGTCCACCTTGGACAGAAAAATAAATGGAAAAATTATAAAGAAAAATGTAACAAATTTGACCAGAACAATTGCTTTTTTACATTTCTGTCAGTAGTTTAGGTACCTTCACAACGTTACCTTGACAATGTTTTTTTATGTTTTGACACAGTGATAAAAATCCTACCTGCATCTGAAGCTGAGCCAGTGTGCTCTGTCGCTGCTGAGCTGCTGAGACAGCTGAGAGACCTCCAGTGGGCGCCTCTGCTCTGGGACCTGCCTGGTGGTTGGTGATGGGTGGCCGGCCAGGGCCCCTTTCTACTACCAAAGAACCTGCAGAAAATAAGCAAACAATTGAGAAATAAATCATGAATCATACCTCAGTCCTCTGTTTGAGGGGGACTTGCCCACTACACATTGCTGACCTACAAGGACACAATTACGAGTGTTTTAATATCAACAAAACTAAAAGTGAAGTCATTCATCAAGGTTAATGGATTATGATTCATGTTTAAGATTAAACATTAATACAACCTTTGTAACCACTTGATTCTGGACAAGAATGTGTAATTCCTGCCAACGTAAACGCCCTAAGGTACACTCTGAGGTACGTTAACTTGAGTGACAGGGTTTGTGATATTATTTCTGGAACAGAAGCTCAGCTACAAGTTACACAAGCTGCTGTTTTACATTTAGGTGGAGGTTAGGGTAAACGACAGTGGAGGAATAATAAAGTAATGCGCATACATCTGCAGAAAGGCCAGAAAATGCAAGTGGATACAGTTTAAATGTTTTTTTGTAAAATTTTTGTTATCCATCATTCCGAAAAGCTTTACGTATTAGTTTCAGAGAAACTAAGCTAATGTAAAAATAATGTAAATGTCCTGTAAACCAAGCAAAAACTATTCTAGTAGTGACAGTTTTTTTTAGCAGCAGCATTAAGAAATCATGCAGGTGTTTTCCGTCTTCATAAAGTGGATTTTCCTGTTCAAGACTACTGACAGAAAGTACATACACGTGCCAAAACAAATAACATAATGGAGAGGAGAGGATTATGTTAGCTGACATACGGTAAGATTAATAAAATGTTATTTAGGCCAGATGAGAGACAAAAACCAAAACAATCTACATGTTTACTATATATTCAAGAGCACACTAACAAAATATTAAAAGTATAGGACGACATCGCCAAAAAAGTTCCAACAGTGGCACATACCTCTCTCAGTACTGTGAACAATCTTACCGAGGATACATTTCAGCTGCTGATGTGGTTAATTTATTACTTACTTCTAACTGTTCTATTCAGTGAGCATAAAAGTTTAAGCTAATAACGTCATATTTTGCCTTTATTTTTGCAGATTGCAGGTTTTTAAAAAGGCACACTACGATCTACAAACCAACAGGAAACATATGTTATTATGCAACCGGTCGGCAAACAATATTCGTACTGCAACTTTTATGTGATTCCAGCCTTACCGAGGTCTACATTCGTGGCCCAGAAACCAGAGCGACACTGAAAGCGAACCGAACTCTGAGGGACGATGGAGGGATTACAGCTCGCTCTCATCAGGTAATGGATCTGACAAAGGATCTAGAAGACAAAAAGACAGGGCTGTCAGAAAAGCATTGTTGGGTTTATCCTGATTATCGTACAAAACACATGTAACAATTAACGGTAAAATAATTCAAACTGCTGTATGATAACATCACTCACCAGTCTCTTGCAGTAGAGGAGGGCTGTTCCACTGTGGCTGGCTGTAGCCCATTTAGTAAAGCTGATGACGTGGTCTAGGTGCCTGCTCAGAGAGTTGACCTCATCTTGCTGCTTTTTTAAACCCAACTCATGGTCCTTAGTGAGAGCCTAGGGGTAGATGTGTACATTAATCGACAGAAAATATAACTCTAAAATGTCGCATTTGCCTGCGTAGGGTCATTGAACTGTGCAGATTAAACCTACCTCAAGCTGGTTACCCAGAATCTTTCCCTTCCTGTTGATCTCCATAATCAAGTTACAAACAGATTTCTTTATTTCATTCATTACAGACTTCCGGTTTTCTTCAACTTGCTGGAGTCTGTGGGAATTAACAACAGAACATTCATTTTAATACTACGCCTCAGCAGTTTCAATATGCAGAGGATTTTGATTCTAGTTAGATTTGCTAAAATGTAAGTCAGGAAAAACAACTTTCTGTCTTCCATGGGAGTCAATTTGTCAAAATTACATTGTGCAGAAATGGGCTTCAATCAGAAAAAAACAAACGGATTAAATTCAGCTGTAGAGGGCAACTTTACCCAGAGCTGATACAGCCGGACACCTCCTCAATGGCCTTTCTTTTCTCCTGCAACTGCTGCGTCATGTTCTCCAGATACTGCCTGTGGTTCCTGTACGCATCCTCCAAAAACTGGTAGCTGGGCACAAAGAATACAAGCATTAAAAGCACATTGTTACAACTGCTCTAGATATTTTATTACCTAAAATGAACCATTGGATATTCTTGTTTTGGTAACAGGCACCAAAGACCTATTGCCAGTATTTATTGAGGATAAGTGGAACAACATATGATTTTTATTGTAATGAAATAAAATAAAATAAAAAGCAGCCTACTTGTGATCCTTGTGTTTAAGCAGCTGACAGTCTCGACAGGTGAGTCGGTCACAAGTCTCACAAAACAGCTTCAGTGGCTCCTGCTTGTGGATGTCACAAAACACAGGCTTCTGTGTGGAAATACCTACTGCTTCTGGGATGCAGACAAAGGGGAAATTTAAGAATATAAAGAAATATATAGTCAGCTTATGTTACCATAATTGTCTTTATCTATAACATCGCTATATTAGTATCATCATGACTCACATCCCGTTAGAACAGTTTGTCTACAACACTCTGCCAGGTAAAACAAAACCTTAGGCTGTTTACAGAATTATCTTACTTCAATATTTAAACAATGTTCATACTATACTAAGTCCAGTATGTAGCATGCAGTCCAGCATACAAGATTGAAGTTGTCATTTTGTAGGTTAATATACAGAAAATGTGCAGTTTGTCCTGCTTTGTACGTCACACACTACCTGGAGACATCTCCTCTTTCTGCCGTATGGTGTGATCCCTGGTGAACTTGACCCTTTGGTGCGCCTCAATACACGTCACACACAGAAACTCCACACACTCCACGCAGTAACCTGTTGCCTCTGTGTTGTCATCGCAGCTCATACACACCTAACACACACACACACACACACACACACACACAAAAGAATAAACAAAAGAAAGAAATCAGCACTTGGGAGAGCAGTGTCAACAAAAAGAAGCTGTTCGCGAGGGGGACGGCTCAGGATGAGGAAGAGGATCACCCCACCTGGCTGGTTTTCTCTACCGTGCTGCTCGGCACCTCGGCGGAGTCCTTGACAAAGAAATTATCCAACACGTCCATATCCCAGCATTCCTGTCTGCAAACTGGACATCGTATGGCACCCACTGGAGCAAGAGACCAGATGCATTATTGAAGAAGGTGTCACAAGTACTTAGACCTGAACGATACTAAGCTATAACACTGACTATAAATCACCTACGATTTTAATACAATACACAGAGCATGCAGCCAGCCATAGTATATTTGTTTAATGATATCATTGTTAGTTTTTTGTTTAGCTGGTCTGAAAGGTTGAATTTCCGGTAAATGACACACTTTTGTGAGAGCAAACCCAAAAAAATACTCTTTGCTATACTTTTGCCACAGTATTTCAATAGATAATTAACATATTCAGTTCAAAAACACCCCACTCTTTTGCATCATCTGGCCACTCATTTGGGTTGCACAGTCCTAACAGCTACACCACACTGAGCTCATTATCAATACAGTAAACTTACACCACTGCTTCACTTCTAGCTTTGTTATCCCAATCTGCCACAGTCACATCAAACCTATCTAAGAGACCCCCCCCCCAAGACCTCCTCCCCAAACACAGACACCATACTCACATGGCTTGTTGCTGTCGACCTGTCCTTGCGAGTCACGCCTCGGGTCCGCGCTCCTGAAGGGAGCAGGGAGACACCTCTTGCAGAAAGAGTGGAGACACGGCAGGAGTTTGGGCTCTCTGTTGTGGAAGCTCAACTTGCAGATAGGACAAGTGTCCATCAGCCCGAAGGTGCCTTGTTGCTTCTGCCTCTCCTCCTCGGCGGGCAAACTTTCTGCCTCGTTCTCGACGATTATGACAATGTCGTCGTTTTCGGCACTTTCATCCATTTTCGATCTGCGGCTGCTTCCCGATACGACCCAGTCAAGCAATCAATGTAGCTTTGAAACAAAGGGTAGCTTATAATTTCCCTGACTTAACAAGCCAGATAGGGGTTATAACGTTCAGTACTAACATTATGCTTTGAAACATCTAAGACATAGTCCTTTTATCCTACAAGGCGGCTTATCAAACTGTGCGCTAACAGTTTTACTGTAATTCTTTTCGCTTTGGGAGCTAAATTAGCAACGTAGCTTATTTTAATTGCACATATGCTAGAGACAATAAATAAGAAATTCCCCGGATGTTAGCGGTTCTTGTTCAAACAGGCGAACACGCAACAGCGCGAACTCACTTGTGAATTAACATTACGCCACATACATAGTATTTTAAAGCTCGTACGTCCATGGGAAAGGCGACCATCTGTGCATTCTTGGCTCAAAACACATACCATATATTACCCAGACGGCACTGCGGTGTTTTAAAGCTACAGCGCCCGCCTGAGGCCAAACAACGTTACGTGCAGGACAAGTTCAGTTTCTCGTTTGTAACCAATTATCCGCAGAAACATGTGATATATATGGTACCCCAAAACTTAAAAGGCTAATTATTAAATGGTATTATTTATTTATTTTAGATAGTGTCTCACTCTCAGTTCTGTTATGTTTGTGGGAGGTTGCGCTTTCTTTCCTGGGAGGAGTCTCAGACAGAGGTTCAGCTACTGGATAAACTATGGTAACTGTGACTACGTGTCGACTTGTATTGGACGGTATGTTTAGCGCAGTGGGGGTTGTGTAATGACACAATCAGCAGCACTGGGGGATTTCTGTCACTCTTCGATGAGGATGGACCTGACAGCTGTGAGTCACTCCATTCATCTGAGTGATGGAAACAGCATACCTCTGATAGGACTGGGAACCTATGGGGATCCCCGCACGGTAAGACACATGCTTTAGTCAGATCCCCCCCCTGCATGTCACATAAACAATGTTCACTCATAAAAAGGTGTGTGTTGTTTTGATAGACCCCTAAAGGAACTGCATATGAGTCAGTCAAAGTGGCTATTGAAACAGGGTACAGACACATTGATGGGGCTTTGGTCTATTTCAATGAACATGAGGTGGGACAAGCTTTAAGGGATACAATTGCAGAAGGGACTGTGAAGAGAGAGGACGTCTTCTACTGTGGAAAGGTTGGTACTGTTTGCTTGTAGAGGTTAATGAACTTAATGGCTACAAAGTGCACGTTTGTATCAGCTAATACCTTTGTTACCTGCGCTTATCATGCAGTTGTGGAACACCTTCCACCCCCCGGAATTGGTAAGACCAGCTCTGGAGAAAACCCTGAAGGCGTTACAGCTGGATTATATCGACCTCTACATTGTCGAACTGCCCATAGCCTTCAAGGTATACGTGCATTTAGTGTTTCATTCAATTTCACGCTCACTGCTGCCAATGATTGCCATCTAAACTCTCTGTATATTATTATTTTCTGAAGCCAGGAGATACATTTTACCCCAAAGATGAAAATGGGAAGTACATTTATCACAAGACAGATCTCCGCGCTACATGGGAGGTGAGACTTGTTGACCTGAAGTTTAAATATCCATTTAAGAATAGAAAGACTTCCTACTGCCTGTACGTTCAATGCAGAGAAAGATAAATACTGGGGTCATCATATGCATGTGCTGAAGGCCAGGAACCTAAACCCATAGCAGTACCCTGTGTTGTGCATTTACAAACCTGACATTTTGTTCAAAGTGCAAAGTCTAATTTGCTGCTTTCTGCCTTTATTGCTTTATTTTTTTTACACCTTTAACAGGCTTTGGAGGCTTGCAAAGATGCCGGGCTTGTAAAATCTCTTGGCGTATCTAACTTCAACAAGCGGCAACTGGAGCTGATCCTGAACAAACCTGGGCTCAAACACAAGCCTGTGTCCAACCAGGTACAGAAAGTTTAATTATAAACCTATGTTCTGGAATTTAGGCAAATTCTAAGAAATAATTAGACTTGATGGATATAATGAGGAAAAAACAAACACAAGAAATTGCCGCAAGTCAGTGACAATTCAAAATAGATTACAAAAAATGGTAAAGATTCCTTAGAAAATAGGCGTGGCACATAAATACTACTAAATAATACAAAGAAGCAATTAACAATTATTATGTGTGCTTTTTGTTTTCACAGGTTGAATGCCATCCCTATTTCACTCAGCCAAAACTGCTTGAGTACTGCCAGCAAAACGACATTATCATTGTGGGATACAGCCCCTTGGGGACATCTAGGGATGCATCCTGGTATGGGAAAGGAATAGATACTTATTACATAAAGTTAATATGTAACTAGTAGCAAATAAAAAAAACAGTGTTCCCAGCTACAACGGATTCATTTGCATTTACAAGACCCTGCACTTACTTATAAAGTTGAAAAGGGGAATTTGCGTTGTCATAATAAAATTCCAATCATGTCAACAGGGTAAACCTAAAATGCCCTCCACTGTTGGAAGATGAGCTACTGGTATCAGTTGCTAAAAAGTATAACAAGACGTCAGCCCAGGTGGCCTTGAGGTTCAATGTCCAGAGGGGAGTGGTGGTCATCCCAAAGAGCTTCAACTCTGCTCGTATAAAGGAAAACTTTCAGGTTTGTTTGTAGGGCCTCAGTTTCAATTCTTGGTATGGCCTGGAAAAAAAAAAAAAAAAAAGGGGGAAATAGCGGGTGAAATATGTTGCAATTTCTTTGCAGATTTTCGACTTCTCTCTTTCTGAGACTGAGATGAAGGCAATTGAGGGTCTGAACAAGAATATTCGTTTTGTGGAGCTTCTCATGTGAGTATAGTATAGTATACACTGTATGAGAGATGTTCTGCTCCTGTGATAAACAATTACTATTTCTCTTTGTTGACTCAACAGGTGGTCTGATCATCCGGAGTATCCATTTCACGAAGACTACTAGGCCACTGATATCAAGACTTTGCTTAAATTTAATCCAATAATTTATTAATTTTATTGCTTTTACATTTGGGCCTTAACTTTAAAATCATTTTGATATCTCTTTTATTGTACATTTCATGAACTTTTCATGGAGTTTATTCATACAGGAAATTGGATTGTTTCAATAAAGCTCTGCTGTGGTCAGATTTTAAGTGTCTTTGTGATTGATTCAGAAACAATTGGAAAACTGTTCTCAGCTTCACTTTTTTGCCATCTCTCCTGGGCTTTAAAACGGAAGTGGAGGATGGGTGCCGTATTATTATGACTGTAAAATTAAATAATAGAAATTATAATACATTAACAACAGTAACATCGCATATTGTTGTTCTAACAACTGTTGTTTATGATTACGACATTTGAAATTGAGCTGTAAAATTAAGTTACATCGTGTTTTCGGACATTGTTGCATCAAACCTTTGTAACGCTACAAATCATGCTGCCTTAAGGTGCTGTAGGAAATATTAAAAATAACAGCTGTACATAATGTCTGTTAAAATTGCACAGAAGACTACCATGTTCACACAGCAACCACACAATAGCACTCGGTTGCTAAATGTCACATTTTCCAGGCAGAACAGTGCCTTTTATAAAAAAACCTGCGACCTCGGAAGTAGTAAAAAGTATCCGAGTTTTCCTGAAGGCACCACACAACAGCTCTTCCCAACCCTGGCTAGTTGTAGCTAGCACGTTAGCTAATGCGGATACAATACCTCCAGACGACGTTAAATGATGCGGAAAGTGACACCATGTAAAACAAAGCAAAAGGAATATTGCCCTTTTTCTGTGTGATTCCGAGTAAGCCACCCAAGCAATGGCGGACTGTCGTACTCAGCCGACTTTCTCAGCTAACGTCAATGTTAGCTGCGCAACGAGCAGAGGTAGCTAAGCTGATTTTAGCCCGACCAAATTAGCTGTATGCTAGTTTTCCACTGGCTTCAAATGCTTCAATGAATGGGGGGTTGTGGCACCGAGTGAAGACGCCAGTCAACAGTGTACGCTCGCAGTTACTAGCCTCCTCCTTGTTGTGATCCCGCTTGGCTATCAGGTGCTCGAAGAAGTGGACGTGAAGAGTTTATTTGGAGAAAGCCTGACGGTCGAGCGTGATTGCGTTATCTGAACGACATTACCAGCTCGCCACAGGACTTAAACCGACCGTGGATAACTTTGTTGATGCACCATCACGAAGAAATTATGCACTACCCAGGTACACGGACGTAGCAATAGCAATGTTAGCTTGCGTAACATAATATCGCAGCCAACACTTTAAGCCGGAGTGTGTTTTTTTTTTTGTTGTTGTTGTTGTTGGTGTGTTGTGTGTTTACAAACTTATTTTCAAATTTCTGCGATCGTCCCTGGGCCAAGTGTCCGCTGCAGGGGGGTTGATTATTGTGAAGTGATGGCGTTTTGGACTGACCCTGCCCTCCGTCCCAGGTAGGGGAGTGGTGCTGAAGACTCCCCGGCCTGACCTGGCCCGCTGTGTGCGGATGATGGGAAAACATTGATCAGCTCTGTTGTTGTATTTATGCATTCACTTTAAAAAAAAACAACAACAAAAAAAAAAAACAGATTATGATTCGTAATCGCGACTGGGATGGCCTGTTCGGATTTTGAAGGATCATGATGGACACGGAGGAAGTTCCCCAAGACGAAAATTATTGGAAATAACCATGGACTGTTGAGCTGAACTCGGTGCATTTGTTTTTTTAGCAGATATTTTTTTTTAAAGACTGTTTTCACTGGCACCACATCAACATGTCTGCGTTTGCTGAGTTCGTCCCCCCTCCTGAATGTCCGGTTTTTGAGCCGAGTTGGGAGGATTTCTCGGATCCTTTAGGATTTATCAACAAGATCCGACCCATCGCAGAGAAAACAGGCATCTGCAAGATCCGACCTCCGGAGGTAAACTCGCATATCGTTTAAAAAAAAAAAGAAAAGAAAAGAAAACATTGTCATAAACACGAGATTAAAGTCTGCGAGGATTTGTGTGTTATGCTCCTACGTAGGTAGAGCTGGTTTAATAAGGCCTGCGTGAATTTTGCGATAGGCAACGACATGACTAGTTGCCATTACTCTAATAGAGGTCAAATAAGCTTAATTTCTTTGCACTTAACTGTGCGTATTTTGTACTTGGGTACGATAAGGTTTCATTTATTGCTCAGAAAAGTTTAGGAAATGGGGATTCAGTTCAACAGTTCCGGTTATAATACCTTTTGTTTTTGTTTTCTTCATGGCTAGCTAAGTTTCAGCACAGTGACTGTACCACGTTAGCTGCTAGGATGCGACGTTGGGCCACAGGCAGGCCTGTCGCTCCTCACAGACAATAAACTCATATTTATGCTTTCTTATATGGACGCACAAGCAACCATTTGAGTATATTATGATTTTCTAGGATCGTTTAACTGTTGTGGTGTGTCTTATGTGGCCAACAATGCAACAAGACCCTGTAAAAACAGAGGGAGTAACATACTGAAAATAACAGC